CCCTAACCCTAACCAATCACGTGTGTTAATTACATATTAATTTCACGATGATCCAAATTTCACCATGATCCGTGACATTAAATACTGTTAATCGGAGAATTCTCAAATTCTCAGACTGACATTTTCCTAGACCAGCCCTCATTTGGAAGACCTTCAAATAATATTTTAAATAATTATGATTTAAAAACATTTAGGTACATTGGTGGCTCACATTACAGAACACAAATTATCTATTAATCAAATATGTGTATCTCCTGATCACAATTTCTTTGCGTCATGCTCGGATGATGGAACTGTTAGAATATGGGATTGCACTAGATTTGTTAAAAACTTTAATAACCGCTCAAGAGCCACATATAATCAACAAGGTTTGTTATGCATTTATATTCTAAGTTTCATAATAATAATTGGATTGACATTTTATTTTATTATAGGCGGCAAGATCAAATGCATGACATTTATTGATAGCACACATTGTATTGCAACTGCATCAGATAATGGAAGTATCCATATATTTAGAATTGATTTTTCTCCTGCAGTCCCTGCACCAAAGTACGGAAAACCACAAACTGTGAGAGAAACATGCTTGAATGGAGAATATGCTGTGGCAATGGAACATTATGATACTGGTTGGTATTACATTATCATACTATTACATGTAAAATCTTAATTGTACAATATATTAATGTGTACTTAATAATTGACAGGCACCGAGTCCATTTTACTTTATGTGACATCTAAGGGAAGCATATGTGGATTAGATTTAAGGACAATGCAAATAGTGTGGAAATTTGAAAATCCTAAAAGCCACGGTGTCATTACAGCAATGGTATCTGATAAAAAACACAGATGGCTTCTTATTGGTACATCTCGAGGAATATTTACACTATGGGATTTACGATTTAGAATTCAAATTCGATCATGGGTTCACCCTACTAAAAGTCGAATTAGTAAGCTTCTCTTACATCCTCAAATTGGAAGTCAGAAGTGGTGGGTAATTGTTGCTGCTGGAAAAAATGAAGTTTCAGTTTGGGATATAGAGAAGGTTGAATGTAAAGAAGTTTTTGGTGTGAGAACTGGTGACGAGAAGATTGGCGGTATATCTTTGGATATGTTTAAGGTAAAAATTTCCTATTATTTGAAAATTTAAATACGGTTGTGACAGTGTTGGCATTGGACATATGTTCAATAATTTTGAAAAGATTGGACATATAAAATTTTATATGTCCAATCTTTCAAAGTTATTGGACGTAGTCCAATGCGCTTAGTTGAGAAATAACTTTTAAAGCATTATACACATTATACACATTTTATTCATAGGCCGTTGAACCTCCAGGTCCAAATGATATATTGCGAAGTGCTTTTACTGCTCATGAAAGCAGTTTTTCTGCAGATAATTCTATTCGAGCAGTTCTTTACCCGTATGAGTGTAATTATATGATAACAGCTGGATCAGACCGCAAAGTCAGGTTTTGGGTTAACAGCCGAATTGAAGATTCGTATGTGATTGTTGGATCAGATCCTGACGATGCTAGACCTACTTATAAGTAAGCCTTCCATTTATTCGTACATCATAATTATTGTTTTCGGACGTTTATGAAATTTTTTTATTTGTGCAGCACGAGACCATTTGATGGAATAAAAGTCCACTATGAACTGCTGTATCGTAATACAAACAGTGTAGCATCCCAGTCATCGTCCACTACATCGTCTTTACAAAATTCAACACACTCAAATGGGCATAATAGTTCAAGCCATAGCAATAGTGGCATTAAACGACCGTCTGCAAATAATAAACAATACAACAATGGAAAAAATCAGTTAATTTCTTATCAACAATTGCTACTTAAAAATCATTTAGATTGCATAACTGATTTAGCAATTACAGAAATTCCACACCCAATGTTAATTAGTGGAGATAGAGATGGTGTTATTAAAGTGTTTTTGTAGGATATTATTTATTAATATATATTATATATATTAGAATATGCAGTGCATTTTTATAAATTTGTCATTCTAAAGATGGATAATCATGTATTTGTTAATAGTTTTACAAGTAATTGAACTAAGTTTTCAAGTGTTCATAGAAATTATTCTAAATATTTTCATATTTTTATTTTGAACAATTTTTGCAATTTTATTTGTATTTTTGATTAGATCAATTTAAATTTTGTTTGATCCAGATTTAAATACTTGATTTTTGGTTTAATTCTAGTAATTACAATAAAAGAATATATAAGTTTATTATAAGTAACAAGTTCAGGTTGATGTGATGACGATACAGGTTTAGCTGGAGCTTTTCCTTCCGAATTCATTCTCGCTTCTCG